AAGTGTTTGGATACTGTGTACAGTAGTGTAATAGTGTTTCAAATGGGGTTGCGAGATCTGATTTAATACATTCAGTGCCTAATTAATATTCATGAATAAATTAGTGAACCTGTATAGAAAGGCCACCTGTCTATAAAGGCCAAAATTTCAAAGTCCCTTGGGTGGCCGCTATAGACAGGTTTGACTGTAATTACTTAGTGTATTGGTACATGTATTTACGCGTAATAGGAATACTTTTCTTTTTTACACAGCAATACTATCAAGCTCCACCGATAAACGTATATAAATATGGTGAGTAAACAGTCACTACTGTGGCCTTGAAATTGTTGTGTTCACGCACAAGAGATCTTGGTACGGGTACGTGCTAAAATTTGTAATCCTTTGTGTGCAAAGGGATTACAGCAGTTGCATTCACGTTTATCAGGATCCACTTGGGACTGATTCGGCTTGTGTCGAAATTACGCCCTCATTCTTTCATCCATTATTTGACCCAAATATAGAAAATGATATGATACTAATAAAAATTGCTATATTGAAATTATATTCATTTGCTCTTATGGTATTTATTACGAGTCATCGTGCACATGAACGGCAAAGAAGATTTGAAAAACGATTATTTTTTCATGTTTATGTAGCATTGCAAAAAAAAAACACAATTGCAGCAGCACATAAATATGTGTCGCTGACAACGTTCTGCATTCATTCAATTCCTTACTACAGCATCTGACAATATATAGCTTCACTTCCCTCAGCACGTGCCGACTTGGCTTTTCGTGTCAAGATTTATAACGTGAACGCCACTATGGTCATCTAATTGGTTATGTTGTTCAGGGTTTTTTCCAGAAAAAAACTGCAAGAGGGAGCACTGCAATTCAGCGGTGCCACCAAGTGGGGGAGATAGGGTTCTCCCTACCAGGGTGTGGAGTTTTTTTAGTCCCCGTTCAGACAAAGTCCAGTCTCCGTCCGTCTGTGTGTCTGTGCGTCCATCCGGAGTCGTATCTCAGAATCCCTTGGGCCGATTCCGTTCATTCTTTGCATGTGCCTAGTATTTTATGTGGGACATATGCACATGTAGTGGTTTAGCGATTCGATTCAAATTTAGTACATAGATCATACATGTTAGGATACATGTCCCCGACCGTTCCCGAGTTCCTGAGTCTGTTCGTCTGTCCATACGTGTGTCCATTCATCCGTGCGTCAGTCTGTCCAGAGTCATATTTCAGAATCCTGTGGACTGATTCCGTTCATTCTTTGCATGTGCCTAGTACCTTATGTGGGACATATCCACATGCAGTGGTTTAGCGATTCGATTCAAACTGGCCGACTGGCAGCCATCTTGTTTTTTGAAAATGTATTTTGGACATGCTTTGTCAGTTGTCATTCAAATTTGGTACATCGATTATACATGTTAGAATACATGTCCATGACGATTTATTTCGTAATTGGATCAAAAATGGTCGACTGGCAGGCATCTTG